GATGAATAGAAAGTCCAAAGGAACAGAAGGAGTAGCATTAACATTATAAATGTCTTTAATGTCACTTTTGATGCATCTTTGCTGTATAATAGTAAAAAAGTTCGGTAACGCTTCCTTTTACAGTACAGTGTACTTACCTAGAAAGTACTGGCTAATATAAGGTACATGGGTTAGGGGTAGGTTCAGGGTTAGTACCTAGTTATTACCCAGTAATTAAGTACATAGTAAGTTCATGGGTAACAGGACTGTAAAAGGAAGCGTTGCCAAAAGTTCTTACTGACCCCAAACTTCAGTAAGATTTGTTTTTAGTTTTTGGAGTTCTTTATCTTTTCTCACAGGTACCGTCCACATAAAGGTTAGTTCTGCTCCTGCTAGCACAACAGGGTCCCTGGATAGTCTGAATTGTCCCCTTGGACATGAGAACATGAGATCGGCTTCTGTTGCAGCACTACAGCATTAACACCCGTCTGTTCCTCAGTAAACCACTGCAGGAGTGTGTCGTGTTTCTGAAATATCACACAGCAAGAGTCGACACACTCATTCCTGGAGTCTCACATCGTCTCGACGCTCAGGTACAGCATCCGTTTACTTTTACTCTGACCTGTCATCTCCAACACATGGGCTGATTAAGAAAATGCTTGGTCAATATTGTAATCTACTTGTGAATAAAGCTTTGATTCCACCTGTATCAGAAACACCTGATGTCCTGCAGCACAGAAACCGTACAAGTATTTATTTACACACTTAAAAATGCCATTGAATAATCAAATATCATCTGAACTGCTGATGTCTCCTTCCTTCATCATTCATCATAAGAAAATAAAACTTCATTACAATGGTTCAGAAAATCAGTAACTTTGCAACTACATGTCGACTAGCAGTGATTCGAGTATTAATAAACTATCTGATCAATTTACGGTAATATACCGGCAGCTGTGGTGGTTGCCAGAAATTTACCGTATAAAATACAGTAGTAAGACTTTACGGTAGCAAGGTTTTACAGACTTAACTTAAAATTTACAGAAATAAACCGTATTTCATTATCTGATATAACGTTAATTTAACGACCTATTGAAGTATTAATATCTGTTTTGTACCATTGTAATACACTGACAACCAACAATCACAGCAGAGATGAGTCACATGATCAATCAAAGATCATCACATGCAGCTCTTCCACAAGAAAGTTAATATTAATATACAGAAGCTGCACAGTGTCATTCGCACAAACATTAAACACCATCATGGTAACACACATGAAATTTTAAAAAGGCAATAAACATTAATTTAACAACATTAAATGTCACATAAAACCCTAATGTACATAAGTGATTAGAAAAAGACTAAGCAAACTATGAAGAAACAGTTATTTCAACAAAAATACATCAAATGCGAAGTGTCACGCAGGGAATTGTGGGAATGTCAATTTACGGTTTTTCACTGTAAATTATGAGTTGTTAATTTTCACTTTCAAAAACTGTAAATTTAACGGTATTTTACAGTAAAATGACATACATGAAATGTACCATTAGATCTATCACAGTTATTTACTGTATATAGTAAGGAAAGGTTCTGTTAACCAATTAACAGTCTTTGACTGTAGCATTTTTACAGTCTTTTACCGTTAAAATCACGATCATACCAACAGACATGACTCTACTGTGAGTAACTTTGCAACTACATGTCAACTTATTCTCCTATCCCGAAATACCCCAACATCACATACTCTGATGAGTTAGTTGATATGTAGCTGCAAAGTTACTTAGTAGAACGTGATTGTTTCAAAGCAGCTTTACAGTGATAAACAGGAAAATAACGATTCAATGATGCGAACAGTTCAACTGAAACCAGTTCAGTGTTGATTCAGTTCAGTTCAATAACTGTGTAAAGTTATTAAAATACTATTTCAGTCTTTATATTTAATTCAATGTTACTTGCGTTTCATAATTATTCGTTGGAATTTACTCGAGTAAAAAGTAGTTCATGTTGTTTCAGATATGTTCCCCGTGTTGCTGAAGTCATCGGCTGGTGTTTTGGTGGTTTTATTCTCCTCCAGTTCAGGTGTAGAGAATCACATGACATATTCCCCTAACATTACTATAACACTACGACTGCGTCCCAAATCACACTCTCTTGAGTAGATACTTATTTTAAATAATGATTACTTCACTTCAGTTTGCCGCTTCACTGTCATTCACAGATCCTCTCCTGTGGCCTCATGGGACAGTAAAGTGTCGTACGCTCACTTCAGACTCTCACCGGAAGAAGTAGATCATCCGGGAACTTTTTCCTTACACTTTTATGAGCACTGTAAATCCAGACACTGCTCTCGTCACATGTTTTTCGCCTACTATATAGTAGGGAAGTGTGGACGCACTATTTCGGATGCAGCTTATACATCTGTCATTTTAGCCTTCTTTTGTGAACCATTGTTCTTGCAAATTGATTGTGCATTTTTATCATTTTGTATGACTAGAGGTAAAACAGCTATAGACACAGTGACAACTTTATTCATTATCAACTCCTAAAAGGTGCATATTAGTACCTTAGAGTATAACATGTACCCCTGTGGTACTAAACCTTTAGGGGTCAATCAGGTACACATTATTTTCTGAGAGTGAACTTAAGTGTGATTTTAATTACTTTTGAGGCCACTGCATAACACGAGTAAACACTCACTGTGATGCTGTGAGGTCATGGAAAACGAAATGTTGTAAATAATCATGCATGCTTGCATTTGTTTGCTCCGACCAGCAAAATATGAATTCACTTTGATAGGTTCAGATTCAAATCTTATTCAGATTCAGATCAGTTCAGATCTTATTTACCATGTTCCAAATCAAGCTGATATTTGAAGTTCCCAAGTCTTGCCGTTGTATCATCTGGGATGTGGAAATAAAGATGCAGACATGTGCAACATTCCCAGCTCTGCATCGGAAATCTGTTTTATTAGAGCAGATTATGAAGAATAATATCACTTGAACTCACTATTGGGACTCAAACACGTGCATATACTTTGACTCACACAGGCTGTAGCAACCGCGCGCGCGCACGCACACACACACACACCATGAGTTAAGGCAACTGTTGGTGGTCCCCAAAGCCCAGTATGAATGTCACCCACAAGACTAATGGAAGCGTCCCCCCCCCCCCTCCCCCTCCCCCCAGCACACACACACACACACACACACACACACACACACACGCAACCCCAAAACATCTAACAAATCAAATCACAAGCTTTCTCCACCTCAGCACTATTTAGAGACACGCAGATGATCGATTATTAAATGTCTACATCGGTTCTTCAGTAATTCCTCCAGATAAGTGAGTTGTTTTGCTTTTGTTTCGAGCGCAGTCTCCAAGCACACACTGCACATTAGAGCATTTACTTCATTTGGTATCTCATTGGCCTCTGCCAAGGACAGAAAACATTGTGTTTAACTTTGGTCTCAAAGAACTCCCTGATTCACTCCAGCTTGGGTCATATTTTTAATGATGAATTCACCCCCCCCCCCTCACAGAAGGCTGAAGTGCTCCGCCAGTCTGACGGCTGTGTGTTTTGAGGGCTAGTTTGTCGGGGATTGGCTTTCACACACACAGGCTGAAAGGGTTACTGTTCAATCTATTCTGCGCTCGCCAGAGTGCGCGGCCGAGTGGCGCCGGCGCGTCACACACACACACGCACACACTCTCAGCCTCCTCCAAAAAGCTCTAGACATCATCAAGAAACAGAGCTGACAACTGCCCCCACCCTGCGCCAAAACACAGCAGCAGCAGTGTATCTGTCACAATAAGCTCAGCAATAACACGCACTCTCCCTCGCAGTGACAGGCGCGCGTCTCGGGAACACGGAGAGCCGCTGTGCGCGTGAAGTCGCGTTTTTACGAGTCTCGCATCTCTTGAACTCGCAGACAGTGTGTTTGCTGACTAATTAACAGTCTGGTACCGTCAGCATCAGTTCACAGTCATTGTAGAGGGGTTGCAGTGTTTCTCACGCCGAGACTTTTGGACAAGAATCGGGCTCAGATTTCTGTCTCTCAGACTCGCCCCCCCTCCCCTCCTCTCTCTCTCTCTCTCTCTCTTCCCCTTTCCAGAAGCTGTACGCCAGGAGCTGCTGGCTCTCCCTGCTCTATTTCACCAATGACAGTGTTTGAAAATGGCTGCATCATATTTTAGCGCTGTGTTAACATCAGCGCGCTTTTACGCACAGCGTTTCCATGCGGCCCGTGTCGAGTATTTCAACAGCGTTATAAGAGCAGGAACAGCACAACATTTCTGCAACATATGCATCATACAATATTTTAAATTTCTCAGATCCTTCACACTCAGTCCAAGTTTAACAGATTTTATTGCTAAAACCATGGCATTTACATTGACATGTTTATTATTATTATTATTAATATTCTCTTAAATTCATTTTTAGAAGTTTTCAAGTAGAATTTCTGGTATATTCTATTCTCTTCTCTTTATCTATACATACTCACAACAGTTAAAACAATAAATAAAACGTACACATTTGTTTGTTTTTTTACTAAAATACTATATGATTTTCAAAAGAACGAAAAGGCTGAGTTCACGTGTATAATTTTCAGCCCAGCCTTTTTTTTTTAAAATCTTCATTATTGATATTAATATTTGTACAAAACTTCTAGGCATCAACGTAGTGTTCTTCTTCAGTCTCTATAAATAGAGTTCAGTGAGGAAAGTGAAGTTCTCTTTGCGTCTTGGCAATAATTTCATAAAAATAACCACGAGCTGAAGTGCTCCTCGTGAGAATATGGTCCTGATCCTTTAATAAAAATAGCTGCATTCTTCTTCGTCTTCTTCCCTTGACTTAAATATGTACATATATGTCATATACTTTGAATTAAAAAGCTATATATATATATATATATATATATATATATACACACATATATATACATATATATATATATATATATATATATATATATACATACATATATATACATATACATATATATATATATATATATACATACATATATATACATATACATATATATATATATATTTAAAAAAATAGATTCGCTATGTGGCGCCACACATCCCTGTCCGTGGGTAAACAGTGCAATCATTGAGAATCGATCCAGCCTCTCGCTGCTCAGCACGAGCACTTGCACTCGGAGATGATCGGGTACTGCACCGGTATCCACGTGCAGAACTTCTGCCTCAGGAACCCCTGGCAGTACCAGCGCAGGAAGGTCTTGGTCACCGACTTGACCGGCTTGCAGGACATGCCCTCGGGGAAGGAGCACGAGCGCTCGCTGAAGCAGTTCCCCTCCTTGATGTAGCGCGGCCAGAAGCGCGCGCCCAGGTCCTTCCAAGTGTACAAAACCGGGCAGTGCGTGTACATCCACAGCCATTGCAGGAACTTCCTCCGCGCCTTCTTGCCCACCTTGACGCGCCTGCCGTACGGCGTCTCCGCGAGGTCCAGCTTCTTGAGCTCGGGCGGTATGGGCATGCGCGGGAGGTCCGGGGGCGCGCTGGTGTTCAGCTGCGCGGGCAGGTGGATGGACATGAAGTTGGGGTCGAAGTGGCTCCCCAGCTTCTTGCGCAGCGTCTTCTCCGAGAGGTCCTGCTCACGCGGGTCGTACTCCGGGTCGGGCTCCTCGATGAGGCCCGGGACGGGCAGGTGTTCGCTGGGCGAGGGCCTCAGGCGCAGGTAGTGCTGGGCCGCGGTGCCGTGCGCGCACAGGAGCAGCAGTAGTAGCGGGAGCGCGCGTGTGATGCTGCCCATGACTCGTCTTCTGTGTGTCTACGGAGTGGAGTTGGCCCTCACTGCGCCCTCGTGCATAAATAGTCCGAGCGACAGCACGAGCGAGATCTTTTAATAGACGGCCGCGTGGCCCGGAATGACATGGGCTGTTCTTTTTTTCTTCTTCTTTCTTTCACAGGGATACTCGTCAGGTGAGGCGTGCCAAGTGCGAAAGGTTCAAAAGCGTATCCTCATCGGACTTTCCTCTAGCGAAGCTGTTGGCGTGTCACCATGGCAACGGGATAGGATGGGATGGCACCGTTTCTACAGCCTGCTAGGGTTTTGTTGCCGGGTGCCACCCAAACTGGCGTTTGAAATGTCAGCGCGCCCGCGGAATGGAGCGCGTCTTAGCCAATGTTATTTTTACGCTCTCTCTCTCTCTCTCTCTCTGAGCGCACAGGCTCCAGTCCGTCCCGCCGAACCGGCGCTGCTGACCCGGGACGAGAGCCGCTCAGTCTCTCCTCAGAGCGGGCAGATCCTGCAGAACTCCACGCGCAATCAGAACCTCAACCCGCGTCTAGAACATGTTCGGCATTAGTCCCGTGTAAAATCAGACTCCTGACAGTTCCGAGCAGTCCTTTACACGTCACGCGTTCCCGAGAATATCTGCTGCATGTTCTTCATATCCCCGCGGTGTCAGAAATCCGTCCGAAAACTCGCCTGGTCCTGATCTGGGACAGAGGAGAATGAGCGCGTCTGGAGGAGAACTCCTCTCTTTCCCAAGTTAAATATCCCCTCCCATTCCCTCCCCCCTCAACTCCAAGAGCGCGCGCACGTGTGTGTGTGTGTGTGTGTGCGCGCGGGGCCAGCTCACCAAGAACCCTCACTCTGACTGACAGCAGAACACACACACACACACACACACCACAACAGCTCTAGATTTATCACAGGCTGCTACAGAACAGCAACCAGAAAACACACATTTGGGATTTTCCATATCTTGCACATTCCGTGACACTTAACCCACCTATTATGATGGTCTTGCACAAATAATGTTCAAGTGGAAACCTTATAATTCATTCATACCACATTCAAATTACACTCTGTGCTGGATGCATCGGTCATCTGGGGCTTTGGCACATATTAGCATGATGCATATTGTGTATTTTAAAGAATAATTATTTTAATGCTTTTCTTTCCCCTAATAAAGCCATTTTTTAGTAGTCTGACTTGGCTAGTTGTGCCACACACACACAGGCAACATCACTTTTCCCAAGGAAAAAGAAAAACAAAGTGAAGTGCTTAGGAATCCAATAATTGGTCCATTAAAGCGCCTCTGGTTTGTGTGGAGGTTTGTGGATTCGGCTTCGACCTTTGCTCTTGCCACCGGCAGAAACCAACGCGCATGAACTCTCGGGGTCACCAAATAAACGGCCACAATTAAGTGTTTCAACAGGCCACATAGAGAGACGTGTCACCTCTCACGGTGCCTGATGTCCAAACGACAGGGAAAGATTCAGCACCACCGTCACTATCATCCAGAAGCCGAGCAGCTCACAGGTGAACGAGTAAACCTTCAAAGTAAACCTTCAAATCCCACTATTAAATTGTGCACGAAAAAAAACTTACTATTGTGCACGTGTAAAACTTAGTCATTAACAATATAAAAAAAATTACAAAATATTTGAATGCACATTAATTCATCATTAAACTTGAGCATTATTTAATAACTATTTAATAATGCTCAAAAGGTATTATTGGTTAATATTCTTAAGCGTGTTATTTGAAATGTCTGTGGTGATTGCAGAAGCTGGAGGGATCTCCCTCTGTGAGCTGTGGGCTTCATGACATGAGGAGTGTGAGGAGTGTGAGGCATGTAAAGCAGGGCCCCAGCAGTCTGTGGATGTGTGGATGTGTGTGTCGGTGGCAGACTGTCTGGCTGCGGTTCTGTGGTTCTGTGGTTCAGCTGCCGGGGTCACGGCGCATATTGGCCGCTAGAGGGCGCGAACGAGAGCGGCGCACTGACGCTGCACAGGAACTCGCACTAACACACCAACAACATTCAAACAGCTAAACATGTCCTGGAATTTTCATATTCAAATTTGAACGAATGAGCTTCTGATGTTATGCAATAAATAATGATCTGATAATGAATGTTATAAAGTGTTACAAAAAAAAAGAGAAAAAAGATGTAGCTAAACCCAATCAGGTCCATCAGTTGCATTCTTGCAAACTAATTCCCAGTTTGATTTAAAAAATATTATCACGAATATATCTCAACTGCATCAAACCACTTTTAATCTGGCAGTATCTCAACAGACGTATAGTAGAATTCACTAAAAAAAAATATTCGAGATTTAAAATAATAAAGATAGTCCCATATAGACCCTCAAATACTGCAAATATATGAGTATCTAGAGACAGAACCAGAAACTAGAATGATGGATGGATGGACAGACACATATAGCCTGCCCTACTAAACAAATATAAAAATATGCTATATAGTGTGTAGCTAGCTAGCCTATAATATTATTGACTTGTGATAAATTGCTTAATGTCCAGTAAACGTAAATATCTAATGTGAATATTACTTCTTTTAATTCATTTTGGCTCATTTGATGCTCAAAGCAACTCTGTTGTTTAGTCAGAGTAAACAAGCGAATGAAAGCTCTGAGTTGTCACTCATCTCTCGGTCTCTGCTCTTGTTTCTCTCAGTGTTTCTCTGGCTCGGTGTCTCTAACTGGAAGCAGATGCTGAGAATCTGGGCTCGTTTAGCGCTGCCTGTTTGAAGATTTACTCTTTATTCTTTCTGAAGCTTTCACTGTAAGCCTTGTAAACAGCATTAAATTGACGAATCTCTGTGGCGACAGCGATGGAGGCTGGTGCCGCGTGTTTATCGCGATGTAGTGATGAAGTGCTCGATATAAACGAGTGTTTGGGCCGGTCCGATAAGAAATAGTTTCGTGAGCTGGTACCGCGGGATGATGTCATACCTTACGTTCAGCATATGGGAGCAACGGCGTTTGATTGACAGCTCAGACTGTGAGGGTTTTCAGTGACACAGCATGGGGACGCTTCCCTCTAAATGTGTGTGTGTGAGAGACTGAGCGCACAACTCCAACACAACACAACTCTACTCTTCTATTCAGGCCTAACGTGTTGCACAGAAAGGGGAGGAGAAGACACAGGAAGAAAAGAAAAGTGGAAGAGGGGGTGGGCAGGAGGTCAATAATGATCTCTCGGCCTCATTTAATTGGGATGCGGTCAGTGTGTGTGTGACTTCACTGCATTCCAGCTTGATTACCCTCATTCATGTTGCCTAAAATTAAAATGAATGCGAGAAAATATCCTGCTGAGACAGAAAGCTGGGAAAAGGAAGAGACCCAGGGAGAGGGCATTCCCAATGCGAGGGGGGCGGGATGACATCACATTCCTGGAGCCAGATTCATAATAACCACAAGATATTGTTGTAATTCAGCCCGTCTCAGAGGCCAAATGTGGACGGTTGATGTGCGAGTAGCTGCGTGTGCCCAAATAATCAGTTTGATGGCTCAATCGGATTGGAAAGACTTCATGTAAACACTTCAATCGATCGGGTTGAAAGGGCTGGACCTGAATTCATCCAATGAACATGAAAGAAATAAGCATTTAAAAGCTTGAATACGACTATCTTGCATTTATTTTAACTTTCCGCCCGCACTTAACCACTCCATAACCCAAAATGCACTTGCAAAACAAAACGTACTTCTAATCTAAATCTCACATTTGGCATATATACTGTTGGCTCATTTTGCACACAATACAATACTGAAGTTTGTCACAAATACTCATAGTTTGTTGTTTTGTGCTAGCGCACACGCTACACAACACATCACAGATGAGCTTTTTCTTGAAACACTATCAAACCATTGGATCAATATGTCAAATAACCAACCGCCATGACATTTAAGAACTGAGAAAAATCATTTCTGAGAAACTTCTTACAGTACATTAAACCCCACAAGCTTTGTGTATACACACTGCCGGGCCAAAAAAAAAAAAACTGCTTCGATTTAAATAGGCAAATGTTTAAGAGTCTATGATTGGATCATTATTGCAGTGATTATTATGTTTCTAACATGTTATATGTTTGGCAACAGTTCTTCTAACTCTAACTGAAGGAGTGTGTAGCTTTTCATTTCTGAAACAACCATGTAGGAAGAACATTATGATCATATTCCAGGATCAGTTCTGGTGCCTTCCCAACTGCTTAGTTTCATTCGGCTTCATACTCTATTAAAGACTTTTTATGAAGCTTATTTCTATGGCGCAATTGAACAGAAAAACACTTCCAGAACCAACACCGCTGAAAAACTATTCTCACTTTCACCATGGACAGACAGATGACTAGTTGCTAAAAACTTTGTGGTGTTGTGTCTGGTTAGGACACGCTGTCAGGAGAACCGAAACACACTTAGGGAACGTAATCCTACCGAGTCCTTTAGATTTATCTGCTATCTGTCCCGCTGTCACACTCACGGCTGTAGATGTTAAACACTGTGTGTGTGTGTGTGTGTGTGTGTGTGTGTGTGTGTGTGTGTGTGTGTGTGTGTGAGAGAGAAAGGCTCTGTGAGGTGAAAGTCTAACTCTGAGGAGTGTGTGTGAGTGTAGTGAAGATGCCGATGGCTCTGAACACACACTGTGAAATGCCTCAGTGCAGCGACAGCATGCAGAACAGCACAGGACAGAGACGCTGTAGACACAGAAGATGTCCTGAATATTGACTCACACTGGTGATCTAATCAAAAGACACATAAACGAGCAGCTGCGGACAAACACGGAGAAAACAAACATCCCTCATTCAGCAGAGAGAGAGAGAGAGACAGCTGGACCGTGTCTGATAGACCTGCGCATATACACGCTTGGTAAGTGATTCTGTCACTGAATGATTTAGTCAATTGAAAATCTATTGCATCTTTAGGAAACTTGAATATTCATGATGTTTCTCAATTTTATATCATAAAAATACTGCAAAAAAGGCACGGGCATCAAAAATGTATCGTAAAAGTGTTGCAAAAAAGGCAAAAATGTCTACAGAAATGACAAAAATTGTTTTGCAAAGCTACCGAAACTGCACACTTTGAAAGCCTCCATGGATTTAATAAGCGTTTATGCTTTAAGTCATTTTACTTTTCCTCAGATAAGTCTAAGGAAGTCTGTCTAATCAAATCTGAGGAAGAGTTGAAGGGCTCAAAACGTCACTGTTTATTAAAATCCGGTATGGGAGCTTTCAAAGCAAGCAGAACCTTTATTTACGTTTTTCGATTTATGATTTTTTTTTTGAAAGGGCATTGCAATATTTCTATGAGATATTATTTAGAAACATCATGATTATTGGAATTTTAAGCTTTTTATTTGACAACTATAGCATCTTCCTAAGGAAACTCTATCGCCCCCTAGAGCACTGAGGTTTGTCAGCGCCACAGAACGATCCATCAGAGGATTACCACTGAAATTACTTCCAGCTCATCACTGAGTTTTATTAATAGAAGAAAAAATCCCAGTTACATTAAGGCACTTCATGTAAATCAAGACCTGTGTAGAGTTCTGTTCAGTATGAGCTTCAATATCATGAGCTCATCACGCCGGTAAACTCTCAGCTCAGAGCTCCAGCCTCCACTCACTGGAATGACATCAGAAACACATCAGACGTTCATCCGCCTTCCATCTAAGAAGGACAATATGGATATATTTATAATACAGATAATAAACACACTTTTAGAATAATTTACACGAATTCTT